TATATTATAATTATTCCGCCTTTTTCCCAGGCCAGGACTCAAGGCAGCTCTTACACAGATAAAACAGAACAATCTGAAAGCACAGAAAAGAACAATAGTTCAGAGGCTCTTGACTTACTTATTACAAGTATATGCAGGGCTTTTTTTTCAGCTGGAACTTGCTGGAACTCAGCCCTGGTACCTCTCAGGTGGGCGCCATTGCCAATCTTAGGAGGTGTTCATAATGAGTTCTGGCACCTTTTTTTCTAGAAGAATGTTGTTGGTGTTGTTGTTTAGTTGTTTAGTCGTGTCCGTCTCTTCATAACCCCATGGACCATGCACGCCAGGCACTCCGGTCTTCCACTGCCTCCCGCAGTTTGGTCAAACTCATGCTGGTAGCTTCGAGAACACCGTCCAACCATCTCGTCCTCTGTTGTCTCCTTCTCCTTGTGCCCTCCATCTTTCCCAACACGAGGGTCTTTTCCAGGGAGTCTTTTCTTCTCGTGATGTGGCCAAAGTATTAGAGCCTCAGTTTCAGGATCTGTCCTTCCAGTGAGCACTCAGGGCTGATTTCCTTCAGAATGGAGAGGTTTGATCTTCTTGCAGTCCATGGGACTCTCAAGAGTCTCCTCCAGCACCATAATTCACAAGCATCAGTTCTTCAGCGATCAACCTTCTTTATGGTCCAGCTCTCACTTCCATACATCACTACTGGGGAAACCATAGCTTTAACTATACCGACCTTTGTTGGCAAGGTGATGTCTCTGCTTTTTAAGATGCTAGGTTTGTCATTGTCTAGAAAAATAGCACTAGGTATATTTCCCTGCCTTTCTTCTAAGGAGCTGAATATCGGGGTTGGCTCCCCACCCCCGCCATTTTTCTCCTCACAAACAACCTTGTGAGGTAGGTTTGGGGCCGAGAGCTTATGACTACCTCAAGATCACCAGGTCAGCTTCATGGCAGTGTGGAGATTTCAAATCGGGCATCCCTTCTCCTAGCTAAAATCCCCCCCTCTTTGCACAAGGAGCGTCACCTTGTTGCTCATCCTCCTCTACATCTGCCCCTGAGCTGATGGTCAAGGTCCTAGATTGGGGGGGGGAGGAAGCGGGGGGTCGAGAGGGAGAAGGTAATTCCCGCCAGCAGACTCCCAGAGATGCAGGGGACCAGTCTCCCTCTCTCTCCTCTGCTCTCCACAGCTCTCCACAATTCTTGCCTTGTCCAGGCCTCTTGGCCGGGTCTCAAGTCAAACAAAGTAGACGGCTGGTTACCGCAAAGCTGAGGTGATTCCGGGGGCTGCAGGGCCAAGCCAGGCGGCCCAGGAACAACGGGGCTATTGAGGGAAAGGGACCTCAGCGAGGAGGAGGCACAAACATTCGTCCTTGCATCTTGCCAGATTATGCACCGGCGGTGGGGTACAATGAGGCCCGTGTGGAGAAATGGGCACCCTGTTCTGAAGCGCAGGGAGGCAAAAAGGGGAGACTGCTCGTGTCGTAGCCTTTGGTGGCATGCGCAGAATGGGGAAAGGACCTCTGTCAAGGTCTTTCAAGGACTTCTGTTTACCTCTTCCTTTGCAAGTGCCTAGGTCCGCCTGCCCCAACCTGGGGCCCTCCACATACTTTGGACTACAAATCCCATCGCCACAGGCCAGCCAAGAGTCGGGGGCGATGGGAGTTGTAGTCCGAAACATCTGGAGCCTGCCAGCTTGGGGAAGACTGGCCAGGGAAATTGTGGGGTAACACTACAGTTTCCGATGGAAACACGTACGTATCTGCTAGGAAATAAAGGCGCTTCCAGAAAATGTGTTTATCGAGCATTCATCCCGACTTGTTTTGCTGCGAGATAAGATGATGTTGGGACGCGGGTGGTGCTGTGGGTTAAACCAGAGCCTAGGACTTGCCGATAAGAAGGTCGGCGGTTCGAATCCCCGCGACGGGGTGAACTCCCATTGCTTGGTCCCAGCTCCTGCCAACCTAGCAGTTCGAAAGCGCATCAAAGTACAAGTAGATAAATAGTTACTGCTCTGGCGGGAAGGTAAACGGCGTTTCCGTGCGCTGCTCTGGTTCGCCAGAAGCTGCTCAGTCATGCTGGCCACATGACCCGGAAGCTGTACGCCGGCTCCCTCGGCCAATAAAGCGAGATGAGCGCCGCAACCCCAGAGTCGGCCATGACTAGACCTAATGGTCAGGGGTCCCTTTACCTTAAGATGATGTTGGCTATTTAAAGGGGCATTCATTCTGTTCTGCTTGCAGGGAGGTTAGATGGCACTGTGTCAAAGCGAGTGTCACCCCACACTTTCTTATCACTTTCCTTCAACGCAAAAGGTCCGTTCTTTAGAGCAGTGTTTCCCAACCTTTTTTGGGCAAAGGCGCACTTGTTTCATGAAAAAAATCTCGAGGCACACCACCATTACAGCCCCGTGATGTCAGCGCGCAGCGTCACGCCGGGAGGGACATGAATTGCTAGCAAATTACATAATCACCTCCTTGAGGGCTGGCTCATCTTCTCCGAAGGCAGAACCCCATTAATTAACAGCACAGACTCACACCATAGCCAAGACGAGGGGGGAAAACCTCAGTCATGCACAGTCATGCACATGTGGGGGCTAAATGAGGACGAAGACCGGGCAGAGAGCAGGGTTCAAATCACCCCACCTGGCCAGGACAATCCCTGGGTGCTCCCTTGGGCCACTCGCCTGACCCACCTCGCAGGGCTGTTGTTGCGATGATACACGGGGAGAACCACGCGCGCCCCCGGGAGCTCCTTGGAGGAGAAAGCGGGCGATGAATGCAATGCACGAAATATATGAGAGGCGACCAGGTTTTGCAGGTGAGGGGCCCCCGCCAGCCTCCGCTTCCAACACCCGGCGCAACGACGCCGAAGTTTCCCCCCGGGCTCGGCTCGGGGAGCAGCGCTGCTCCCCCCCGGCTCCCCTTAGCCCTCCCGGCTCTCTCTGCCGCCCACTGGGGACCCCCCTCACCTGCCAAGTCCGGAGCGCCGGTGGAAGTTGCATGCATGCATGCAGGGCGCCGCGTTGCCATTGCATTGCACTGCACTCCATGCAATGCCTGCACGCATGCATTGCCTTGCACGCACAGGGGTCTCCCCGCAGTCCGATGCGTCCCCTCCGGCGCGGATGCAGCATTGCAAAAATAAACACCCCCCCCCGACGCAGCCCTACCTGGGGGGCAGCCTCCGCCTCCGCGGGGATCCCCGGCCTCCATCCTGCCGCCCGATCTCCGGGGGGCGCAGGCAGGCTGCGCGGGGTCTGCGCGGAAAGAGCCCCTGCCCGCCCGGCCGCGGCCGCCGCCGCGCTCATTCCATGGCCGGGAGAAGAGCGCTTCAAACAAAACGCCCGGCCCGCCAGGCCACGCTGGGAAACGTAGTTTGCGCACCCCGCGCGGGCGCGGAGCCCAAGGGCAAGGGGACTACGGATCCCGGCAGCCCCCGCGCCGGGGACGGAGGGGGAGAGGCCGGGTGCAGGGATGGAGGGACGGGTGGGCGAGCGAGTGAGTGAGTGGCAGCCGCCAAGCCTTGGCCGAGAGCCAGGAAGGGCCTCCCCGGAGGAGGAGGAGGGAGGCGCAGAGTGGGAGGGAAGGAGGGAACCCCAGGGGTCATCTAGTGACGGCGCCCCAATCGAAAATTTGACTTTAAAAAAAAAAATCTTTCAATTTTTTAATTTTTCCCGCGGCACACCAGGCAACATCTCGCGGCACACTAGTGTGCCGCGGAACAGTGGTTGGGAAACACTGCTTTAGAGCTTAATGTAGGGATGAGGAACATTGTTTTTTAGTCATGGGCCACATCCCGGACGGGACCAGAACCAGCAGTGGGAGGGGCACTCCTGTCTCCATCTGCTAGCCCGTATCCCATTTCACCCCCTTCTTGCCACCCACATGAAATCAGGCCCAAACTTGCCCACCCTTGGGGCAGGTTAAAAATGCGCTCCCAATTAATCAGGGTTTTTCTCAATCTTTTCATTCAAGACCAGCTGCCTCTGAGGCAAAGGACAAGATGGGGACTTAGCCACCCCAATTCCATGTATAGAAGCCACAAGGACTGCAGTTGAATGCCACTTCAACAGAGGTGACAGGGCACAGCAAGGCTAGCTTGGGTGGCAAGCACCCTCCACCTGAAGCGGCCATCTTCCTCTGCTTATGATAGGGCCATCTCTGTTGCCCTCCTCTGTTGCAGAAGACTGAGCAGCCCCTGCAAAGTAGGCCAGATGATTAAAAGTTCCTGTCCGGGCCAGCTCAGGATGTTGGCACCTGAGGCAAACCACAAAATGGGGGTCCCCCACCAGGAAAGAAGGGGGAGGGAAGATCTACAGCAGGAACAAGTGGGTAGCAGAGATGTAAATTGGGAAGAAGGGCGGGAGAGGACTACAAAAGCCTCCTATTCACCCAGAGACTGCAGTAGACGGCATTCAGGGGCATTGCTGAGGAGGCAGATCCAGCCACCAAGGAGAAGGCCACAGCTATCGTCGCCTCCATAGCGGCGGCAGCAGGCAATGCGTTCCTTGGACCCTGCCGCCTGAGGCTGTTGCCTCACGGGTGGGCCGGCACCTGGTTCCTGTATATTCCCCCATTGGTCCCTGTGAGAAACAGGATGCTGGTTAAGGGCTTTGGGCCTGATCCCACAAGGCCAGTCTGGGGCTCTTGTTGCTACTCACAAGGCTTCAGCTTTTTTATTTAAAACCAAAACCAAAACACAAATTTAATTTTCCAGGCATTTGCAGAGGTTGCATGGCAAATGCTGGGTCTTGCATGCAGTGGCAGAAACATGCAAATTGCTGAGAATTGGCATATGCTGGATGTTCCCATGGTTACCATGCACTGAAGGCCTGTCAGTAGGCCCGGTTTGAGTACTATATTTGGGGAGAAATGGGCCAACTGTGGTCTACACAGACATCTAGTGGTGAAGACTAGCAATTACAGCTGTAAAAAAAAGGAGACAGAGTAGAACCAAACAAACCCAAAAGGTACGGTATATGCATCACCTTCCACAAAAATGACAGGCACTTGTTTCACTGTTAAGCAAGTCTTTATTTTATTTATATTTCAATGTATTTATTGCACTTCAATATTAGACAAAAAATAAACTCTCTTTCTTGTCGGTATCTTTTGCGAGTCTTTTGGACTCCAAACAGCAGCAACAGCAGCAGCACCAGCAGCAGCAAATAAAACCCTCTCTATTTTCCCTTTGCAGCAAATATACTCCGGTTTAGGGAGGGAATTCTTTGTTATAACATACATTTTTTTCCTCTAGATTTCTAAGAAAAGTGCAATGTTTGGTTTGTTTTTTTCATTTTAAAAGCAGTGTTGAACAACAACAGCAGCAGCAGCAACAGTGTCCCTCCCACCCTGCGAAGAACACAGATATCCCCCACATCATGCACACAGGAGGGTGACTGAAACATGCCATGAGAGCTCCTGTCAATGGGATGTAAAAAGACCTGATATGTTTCAATGCAGAGAATAGGGCGGCAGGGCTGACTACAGCCAAGTTAGGACACTGGGGGGTGGGAGCAGGAGGGTGGTCCTACAGGAGAGAAGTGGGAGCCCAAGACCCCTTTTTGGTCGCCTCCCTTACAAGTTCCCCCTCAAAAAAGAATAAAATAAAATCCCAACCAACCTCAAGGTTTGGCTCCTTTTAAATCTACACAGTCTCACATACAAAAGTTGAGGAAAACAATTCCTGGGATCTCTGGAGCTACATAACCAAGGCTGTGTGTAATCCACGTGCCTGCACTTCCAAGCATGGAACTTAGCATCCTTAGAACGTCTTTTTAACAGAAAATAAATCTTCTTCCCCTGACAACCCAAGAGTAATTTTGAAAACATTGGACTTTGCAAGGCGAGGTCCGAGACCTAAACTACACATGACAATGGCAGAAAGCACATGTAAAACAGAGAGTGACTGGGGTGGGGTATAGCTTAAGAGCTCCAAAGGGGCACAATGAACTGTCCCCAACACCGGCCATCTTTCTCTCCTTCAAAACTCCTTTCCCCAGGCACTTTTAGCTGGTGTTGAGCCTGGGTGGGGTGAGGTGGGGGGGGGGGGAGAGAACTAGGGAGAAAAGAGCAGGGACAAAGGAGGAAGGGTTCAGAACATCGCCACCCCCAGCCACCCATGTGCCCCTTTGGTGTGCAAAACCATGCAGAGACACCTATACTTCAGACACGGGCCTGCCAGCATCATGTGTAGCTTGGGTATCAGAAACCAAATAGAACTTGCAGGGATCACTAGGTGAAGCACCCTGTGGGCACCCTTCACCAGAAAAAAAGGGGGGGGAACCCGCACATTTCCCATCTGGTGGAAGCAGCATAAACTGTACAGAATAAACAAATGTGATATTTAATTTGCATAATTTACCCAGGTCACAAATTTAACCATTTCTTGGCTCAAAATCTGGTGTGTGTGTGTGTGAAGAGTAGAGTACACACAGCCTTCAGTATAGCGAATGGAGGGAAATGTTGGAACCAAGCTAATTCTAGGTTCCATTCTGTTCCCCGCCTCCCCGGGAACAAGCCAACTAACTGGTTGTTAGGAAAGCGATTAGCCAGCAGTCTAGGGTTATATTCGCACATCTGGAATAAGAGACTGGGGGTTAAATATAACAAAGGCAGCTTCGGAAGATAGCCAGGACTCTGGGGCTCTGTGCCCCATATCCTGGAAAGTGAGCAAGATCTACAGGTTCAAATGGAAAGCTATGGTTCTGGAATTCTGGGGGAGAGCTTCGCTCTTCTGGAAAAAGACAGCACCATTGCCTGGAAGGAACTGGTAAGGTTGGGTGGAATGGTATTCGGAGTGTTTGCTTTGCTTAGCCCTTTCTACCTAAGGGCTCAGCTAACCTCTGCTTGTTTCCCTAAACCTTACTTGGCAAGGAAGGCACTCCTGCTTCTTCCATTTGCCCTTCTGAGAGCCTGCCCTCCCCCAAACCCTGTCTGCTCAGAATTTAGCCCTCCGAAAGTCAATGGGGCTTAATCCCAGGTAAGCAAGGTTAAGGACTGCAGCCTTAGCCCCTTCGCAGCGGTCCTCTTCCCACACCATGGGGCCCGACGGCCTTCCGAGCATGCTATGGCCGCCTCCGAAAGTTGAGAGCAAGTCTGACCTGTGTACTAGTGGAAGCCCCTTTTGTGTTTTTGCTTGCAACATTTACAAAATATATATTATATTGAGATAGACACTTGTGTCAGGCGTGACAAAGAGGACTTGCTCAGTTGTAGGGATGGAGGTGGGAAAGGGGCCCAACTTGAGCAGGTCTACTTTACGCATCTGAACCCTAACACCTACCCGGTAAAATCTGTAGCATAAACTGAACGTCTTAAAAGACGGTATAGCAATTAGTTCTGTGTGTGCGATCCCTTCTTCGGGAAAGAGCAGCAACGAAACAGAGCAAACTCCCCACCCCAAAGAAAGGAATTCCAAAAAAGAACTGCGGGGGGGAGCTTGAGTCCTGGGGCTGCGGTAGCATGCAGATAAAAGGAAAGGAGCTAGTTGCAACATTCACCTTATCAGTTTGTCCTTTTTTCCTCCTCTCCCCCACCCACCCCACAAAGCGCTACCAAGAGTTATTATAATTACGCACAATAAACCCAGTGTTTTTATATACAGAACTTCAACACAATATCACATGGAAAGTAAGATATATATGCGTGTACTGTGTATATATATATATATATAAATATATACATATATATATCAGCACACATTTGAAAAACAACACGGTACAACGCGTGTCCAGCTCATTTGCCTGATCTCCTCTAGCAAAATAAATGATCTTCAATCTGCACAGCGCCACGGAGAGCACTATCTGGGAAACAAACCCTTCCTCCTGTGTCTGGTCTCCTCGCCAGGGAGGGATCCGCTCTAGTAGATCCCAGCTGCGATGGGCTAGGGGTTCCCCTCCCTTGCCGGATCCCTTATGCTCCTCTCCTTTCACCGTCACCATCTTCTCCCCACGGAGCAAAATTTAGTCCGATGCATTAAGTTTGCTTGATGGTCGATTCTTGGTTCTTCTTACCCAAAACTCGCAGGGTTTCAGAAGCCGTCCAGTCCAGCGGGCTTACGGGTTGATCCGGAAGGCAAGGAGTTTCTCTGAATGTTGGTTGTTGAGGGTTCTCAGGTCAGGCAGGCGGAGGAGCAGCTTGGGGAAAAGCGTGGAGTCGTCCGGGTGCTTCTTAGTCACGAGAGTCCGCAAGGCCCGGATTAACGTCTCCTGGAGGATTTCGACTGCATCCACGTCAGAGATGCCGGAGCGATCTGAAAACCAAAGCAAAGGTATTGAGTTGACAGAAACAGGAAAGACACGTGGAGAACAGAGGGGTTTTCATTTCCCTGGGGAAAGAATGGTACAGTGGTACCTCTGGATGCGAACGCAACCCGCATCTGCGCGTCGCGATTTGCCGCTTCTGCACGTGACATCATTTTGAGCGTCTGCGCATTTGGCGAAACCCGGAAGTAACGCGCTCTGTTATTTCCGGGTCGCCGTGGAGCGTAACCTGAATACGCTCAACCTGAAGCACGTTTAACCCGAGGTATGAAAGCACGCCGGTGCAAATAGATAAATAGGTACCACTCAGGCAGGAAGGTAAATGGCGTTTCCGTGCACTGCTCTGGTTCGCCAGAAGTGGCTTAGTCATGCTGACCACATGACCCGGAAGCTGTCTGTGGACAAACTCGGCCTATAGAGCGAGATGAGCGCCGCAACCCCAGAGTCGGCCACGACTGGACCTAATGGTCAGGGGTCCCTTTACCTTTACCTATGACTGTAAAGTTAAAATAGTTGCAATGTTTATTTGTCAGCATCAAGCTCACTTATTAGAGACACCCTGACATTATGATGCAGATGACAATTCAACATTAAAAAATTATTAATAATCCTGTTCTGAAATGACACAAATTCTGCACCAATAAATTATGCTGGAATACACACAAAATGAAGGCAGGGAAGCTTCACTGTTGACTATCGGAAATATCATTCAGCAACTGCTTTGAACTTCTGAATTTTTTTGTCAGGCGTTTCTCATACCAATTTGCCCCATAAAAGCTAGAAATGTAAATCAAATTTGCTTTTAAAAAAAAGACATCCAAAACCAGCCCTATATCAGGAAGTTTTTCATGTTTGATGTATTATCATATTTTTATATGTACACTGGCACCTCGGGTTAAGTACTTAATTTGTTCTGGAGGTCCGTTCTTAACCTGAAACTGTTCTTAACCTGAAGCACCACTTTAGCTAATGGGGCCTCCTGCTGCCGCTGCTGCACGATTTCTGTTCTTATCCTGAAGCAAAGTTCTTAACCTGAAGCACTATTTCTGGGTTAGTGGAGTCTGTAACCTGAAGCGTATGTAACCTGAGGTACCACTGTATTGGAAGCTGCCCAGAGTGGCTGGGGCAACCCAGCCAGATTGGCAGGAGATATATTATCTCAAGGTATTTTACTGTTACTGTGTCTCTCTCTGTGTGTGTGTAACTATCAAGTCTGATAAAATGAAAAGAAATCTTTAAAAAACCTTAATCAACAGGGTAAGCAGTGATGGCTATAAAAGATTAAGACCCCTCTGTAAATACTGCAGTCTTCTAGCTCTAACCTCTGCCTGCAGGGCTGGGTGCCTTTAATTGCTCCGAGGCGAGAAGGAATCATTTGGGATTCTCCCAGCACAGGACCGCAAGTACAGCGAAAGCCTTTAATGCAAGCCGTAGAATGCTCCTCCTACCCAACCAAGCCAGTTATGACCCCTTGACTCACCCGCGGAGACCAGGACTACGGCCATGAAGAGCGCCATCTCCTGCGCGTCCAAGTCCAGGGAACTGAGCTTCTCGCTGAACTCAAACATGGCGTCCAGCAGGGAGCCCATGCCCATGGTACGTAGGCTGCAGAGGGAGTATGTCTCCCCACTCAGGAAGGTCACCACCTTCTCCTTGGGGCTGAACAGGGAGGAGAAGCGAACCATCAGCACCTGGGAAGGGAAAGAAGAGGGGAAGGTTGAGTGAGGTCTAAGCAAACGGGCTGCCACTTTGACCAACATCCTAGGAATGAAGAAAAAGGCCTTCCTGAGCTAATCGTTCATTGATTCCAAAACAAGGCTTTGGAATTGCCTGTTGCCATGTCCTATTACCAGGTGGAAGGAGATGCTGGGAAAGGAGGACATAGCCCTGAAAGCACAAAGGGTGTCTCTGCTCATCTCTATCACAGGCTGCACTGAGTTTTGCATTTGAGGTTCGAGATTGACTTGTGCCAGGTACCCTTAAAGTTATCCTGTCTGTAGCACAGGGTGGCAGGTTTGACCTTTTTCTGTTTTTGAGCAGTGGGAGGAACTACATTTGTTAAAATCCAGCCTGCTGCGCGGCTGTTTGAAGGCGCAAGAGTGCTGCTTAAGGCAGGCCTTTCGGGTCCCCTGCGTGAGAGCCAATTGCTAAGCAATGACAGGGCCCTCCAAAAAGGCAACAATATTGTGACCCTGCCAGCATGGCCAAGAGTAAGTGATGATGGGAGATGGAGTCTAATAATCACCTGAAGGGCACCACAATGACTGCCTCTGGTGCAAGCTATTTTTTGCCCAAGGAGAGTATGCATCTAGCTCCATCCGTGAGGCCCAGGGCAAAAGAAGAATTACCGTATTTTTTGCTCTATAAGACTGACTTTTTCCCTCCTAAAAAGTAAGGGGAAAGGTGTCTTATGGAGCGAATGCAGGGTGCGCAGCTATCATAGAAGCCAGAACAGCAAGAGGGATTGCGATCCCTCTTGCTGTTCTGGCTTCTGAGATTCAGAATTTTTTTCCTTCTTGTTTTCCTCCTCCAAAAACTAGGTGCGTCTTGTGGTCTGGTGCGTCTTATAGAGCAAAAAATATGGTGCCTAAGGCTGTCGCTGGCTGCTAGCCACAATGGGTAGATTCTACAGCTCAGTTGGTAGAGCATGAAAGTATTCATTTCGAGGTCATGGGTTCGAGTCTCACGTTGGGCAAAAGATTCTTGCAATGCTGGGGGTTGGACTAGATGACCCTTGAGGTCCCAGTTCTATGATTCTACCTCCTCTGGTGCAGGTAGGCTGTCGCTGAATACCAGTTGCTGAGAATCACAATGGGGAGAAGTGCTATTGCATGTGGGTCCTGCTTCTGTTCTTACCTGGAAAGTGCCTGCTTTCAGCAGCATGACTTGGTCTTGCTGGCAGAGGGACTGGAACCCGGGGATGCTCTTGGCAAACTCCACCACCTCCTTGACGGCTGGCGTGAAGCACTGCGAAAATTCCTCCCACACTTGCTGGCTGCTCTTGCCGTTGCTGCAATAGGGGGTGGCGTTCAGAGGACAGGCCTGCGTACAACAAGGGTGTCAGCAAAGAAGGTTAAGCTCGATCTAGCCAGAAGAAACCCTTGCAAATACACTGCTTCGCAAGCGACAAATACCATTTATTTACTTCCAAAAGATGCATCTTTGCTGTGGCGCTCACACAGGGTCCCCGGACGTTTCACCATCTATTGATCCCTGTGCCACCACTTTATTTCTCGCTGCCACCACCCAGGCCCTACCTGGTACAATACTGAGTCCAGTCAGGGTTAAGTTGGAACATACACCTCTGTTTATTTATTGCAGTTTAACAAGCGTGTGGTTTCATAAACGGTCTCAGTCAGTTACTATCATGGGGTGCCTATCCAGACCTATAACTTCCGCTAGCTGCTCTCACTAAACCACCTCTCAGATATTTACTTGTCTTCCTAGCTCCTAACTGTTCCTGACTCAGCTTATTTCGCTACACTAACTCAACCTACCCAGACTCTATCCCAATTCACTCCCACTCCAACCAACCACCCAACTCCCAACCAACTCCCCTTTCGCCCTTCCCAGAGCTGGTTTTATAGTCCCTCTGACTCCACCCCCCTGGGTACTGATTGGGTAACCTGTTTAACTATTTCACCTCCCGCACTCTCATATGTTAACGTCACACCGCCTTATACAGTGGTGCCCCGCAAGACGAATGCCTTGCAAGACGAAAAATTCGCTAGACGAAAGGGTTTTCCGTTTTTTGAGTCGTTCCGCAAGACGAATTTCCCTATGGGCTTGCTTCGCAAGACGAAACGTCTTGCGAGTTTGTTTCCTTTTTCTTAAAGCCGCTAAGCCGTTAATAGCCGCTAAGCCGTTAATAGCCGCTAAGCCGCTAATAGCCGTGCTTCGCAAGACGAAAAAACCGCAAGACGAAGAAACTCGCAGAACGGATTAATTTCGTCTTGCGAGGCACCACTGTATTGCAAAGGGTGGTTCGTGTAATCAAAGTAAATGGTAAAGGACCTCTGGATGGTTAAGTCCAGTCAAAGGCGACTATGGGATTGCGGCGCTCATCTCACTTTTCAGGCCGAGGGAGCTGGCGTTTGTCCACAGACAGCTTTCCAGGTCATGTGGCCAGCATGGCTAAACCGCTTCTGGCGCAACGGGACACCGTGACGGAAGCCAGAGCGCACAGAAATGCTGTTTACCTTCCCGCCACAGTGGTACCTATTTATCTACTTGCACTGGTGTGCTTTCGAACTGCTAGGGTTGGCAGGAGCTGGGACACAGCGATGGGAGCTTGCCCCGTTGCACGAATTTGAACCACCGACACAAGGGGTGGGGGGAGTAGTAATCTTTAGTCAATTAAAATGTATTTATTATTCAGACTGAAATACCCCTGAACATATGGCAAAATAATATCTGGCATATAGCAATGTCCTCACCAGACACAGGAGGGCAATTAAAGGCATAACAAATGGAGACACCTTCCAAGAAACGTGGACCCCTTTCTTTAACTATGTTAATGACTAAAATCAAGACCTTCTTATACCAACCGCTCACTATTCTCAGTGGAAGAGTTACGTTAAGTAATATGTTTGAAAGTTGAATGTGTTAAGTATATGTCTAGAGACAATGGATAAAACAAAGACCATTGGATGTGCTTCTGGGGAAGCGTTTAATGGTTACAGTGGTACCTCGGGTTAAGTACTTAATTTGTTCTGGAGGTCCGTACTTAACCTGAAACTGTTCTTAACCTGAAGCTAATGGGGCCTCCTGCTGCTGCCACACCGCCGGAGCCCAATTTCTGTTCTCATCCTGAAGCAAAGTTCTTAACCTGAAGCACTATTTCTGGGTTAGCAGAGTCTGTAACCTGAAGTGTATGTAACCTGAGGTACCACTGTATCTGTATTTCTTTAAGAACCATTAAAATTTGTTTTTAAAAATTATTTCTTATTTATTTGAGATATTTATGGTCTCCTTTTCACTTAAAAATAAATCCCAGAGTAGGGTGTAATAAAAACATCGTGAACAATAAAACCAACCACTGTTATTTAAAAGCTCAGTGTCAACAGATCAGCAACATCTGCAAGGGCAAAACTCCTGACTGCCTCCTTCAATTAGCTCTGCAAGGAAGAGATGGAGAACTTGGGGTCTTCCACATATTGTTGGGATTTTAACTCCCGTAAACCCTGACCTTTGGCCATGTTGGCTGAGGTTGATGGGAGGGTTGTAGGTTTCCCACCCTTCATATAAATGGCAGTGGGGGAAGAAACAGGTAATCTATCAAACAGCTTTTCCTCGCCTTGCACATCATTTCATACACAAAACTGTTTGTGACTATTTTTCCTTCCAGTGGGAGTTATCTCCTCTCAAGAAGCTCCACTGGGAGAAAAATGCATAGGTGTGTGTTTGTGTGTGTAACACCATGGGCAGAGGTCACCCCACTCCCAGTATTCACTTGAAATTCCCTCCCTCCCTGCCCTGCAGTAGCAGAATGCAGTGCGCCACTTCATGCCACAAAGAGGGCTCGTGTTTTTATAACTGTGCAAAAAGGAAAAGCTTCTCTGCAGGGGAGACGGCTGGGCTAGGACCATGTTTCCTCATGTGCTAGTTTGCCACTTGTGCAGATTATTTATTTTTAAAAACAGGAGCAGCGGTGTACGGTTATCCAAAACAACACCTTATTCCGCTGCATGTCAGTGGGTGGGGAATGTAGTAAGGGAGCTGCATTTCCAGCTCCAGGCAAACAGAGGAGGTGGCTGAGCCACGCAGATCTCTATGTGATATGTAAAGTAAAGGTAAAGGGACCCCTGACCATTAGGTCCAGTCGTGACCGACTCTGGGGTTGCGGCGCTCATCTCGCTTTATTGGCTGAGGGAGCCGGCGTACAGCTTCCAGGTCATGTGGCCAGCATGACTAAGCCGCTTCTGGCAAACCAGAGCAGCACATGGAAACGCCGTTTACCTTCCCGCCAGAGCGGTACCTATTTATCTACTTGCACTTTGACATGCTTTCAAACTGCTAGGTTGGCAGGAGCAGGGACCGAGCAACGGAAGCTCACCCCGTCTGATTGGCAAGTCCTAGGCTCTGTGGTTTAACCCACAGCGCCACCCACATCCCTATGTGATGTGTACATGTGGCTAGACCTTGGAATACTATTGCCCTGATTCAAGCAGGTCATTTCTGAAGGGAAGGTTGCCTTTATTTAATCCTAAAATGCAACATAAGACGCTGTATTTATTATAGCCCTGAGGGCTCTTGAAAATGGCTCATTTGCGGTGCAGAGAGCATTGTTTCCAACAGAGGGAGCTTGAAGCGTTTCCCAGCTGAAAACCAGAGCGTCCTGCTGGAGATCCTGCAGCAGCCAACAAGCCCAGCTTTGCAAGCTGAAGGCAGTCTTCCACTGCAGCTCGGCCCAGTGCCTGATTTCCAAACTGAGCCGTGCTGAGGCTCAAGCCCACTCGGAAGTGTTGAATCACTGAACTGTAGAGCTAGCCCAATTCCCTGCAATGCAGAGAGCCATTCCTAGGTGGGTTTGAACCACCAACATCCTGGTTGACAACAGCTAGATGCACTCACCCTCTGCAACATTACGATTCTCTCTTTCCCTGAAGCTGGCCAATGTTGGGGAGTAATGAAAAGTTCAGATGCAGAGAAGATAACCATCCCCTGTTGTCTGCCCCGAAGATTTGAAGGTATCGTGCCCCTCTGCATGGAGGCTCCATTGTTGGCAATCATTGTCCCTACCCATCTTCCATAACCTAGCTCCAGTGATGCCTACATTCCTGTGGCTATTGCCACGCATCCAATGGCAGTGTTTCCCCCAATATAATATTTAATTCTAGTACTTACGATGCCTCGACTGGTAGTACCCCGCCAGGGACAGCCCCTCTGGGTGTTTGCTTCAGGATAGCCATATTCAAAGGCTGGGTAGCACCCGCCATTGTGCAGATAGCCAGCCTGCTGGGCCTTGAAGATCTCGTTGCCAAAGCACCGGGAGCCGTTGTCCACGAAGCCGGGGGGCTCCTGGGGGCCGTAGCTGGACACGCGCAGAGTGGCCGACTCGTATTGCCCGTAGCTGTAGGAGTTGTTCAGCTGCTGATCGTTGTAGTTGGTCAAAGGGCAGGCCTCGCTCCCGGGGGACTCTCCCCGCTTGCCCAGGCGCTCCTGGCCACTCACGAAGATGTCGTGGTAAGCCCTCGAGATGGCACTGATGGCCTCCTCTTCCTGGGCGTTGGGGCTGGGTGGGGCGGCGTCCGCCTCGGGGCTCATGCCAACGTCCATGGGGGCCTCGTTCAGGCTGTTCATGTAGCTCTGCATCTCATCCAGCAAGCGCTGCTTCTCCCGTTTAGGAATGCGCCCAAAGCGCACAGCTGTTGGGGGGGGGAGAGAAATGGCAGGAGAATGTGAGAGAGGGGAAAGGACGGCATGAAACAGGCCCTTCTTGGGGAAGTCACAAGGACAGCTGTTGGGGACAGCATGCCGCCGTCCGGAAAATAAACAGCAGGTTGAGGATAATCTGTAGTGATGGAAGATTTGGGCATGAGAAGCTTTTCTCCTTGTCCCTATGCTAATGTGGGGGAAACTGCACCCACCAAAATTCTCCCTGTTCTTGCTTTCAACCTGGCAGCACTGGGGTGGGTGGGGAGGCAAAGACAGTGGTGCAGCCCTTCGGAATCGCCCCAAACGCCAGTGAAATCGGTACAGGCCAAATCAGGTACGCTATCTCACATAGAATCATAAAACTGTGGAGAAGGGTTTGGATTTGGTATCCTGCTTTATCACTACCCGAAGGAGTCTCAAAGCGGCTAACATTCTCCTTCCCCTTCCTCCCCCACAACAAACACTCTGTGAGGTGAGTGGGGCTGAGAGACTTCAGAGAAGCGTGACTAGCCCAAGGTCACCCAGCAGCTGCATGTGGAGGAGCGGGGAAGCGAACCCGGTTCACCAGATTACGAGTCCACCGCTCTTAACCACTACACCACACTGGAGGAAGGGGTCCTGAGGGTCTTCTAGTCCAAACCTCTGCGATGCAGGAATCCTGCCCACAGCTGTCCCTGGGTGGGTGGGCTCGAACCACCAACCTTCTGGTTAACAGCTAGATGCACCGACCCACTGCATGTATGCACAATTTCTGCAACTTGTGGGGTGGTGGCGACTGCCGATTTTGGCATTAACTTTTCCGCAGACAAAGCGGAGGGGGAGCAGACCCAACCCTGTTCCAAAATCCACAGCATCACTGCGAAGCCGAAATTAGTCACCAGCTCCTCAAGGTTTCTGGGTACATCTATCATGTACCCAAGAGAGTTGTCGTGACCATTAATCAAAGGATGCTGCCTGTTTTCCGGGCAAGAGGTGCTCCTCCCACAACTTTCTCTGTTGCCCTGGAAATCCTGGCCTGGAAGCATCAATCAGCCCAGGGCTCTATTTATCAACCAAAGGATTTGCTGACACAGTGCTCTTGTAAGAGTAAAGGAGCAGCGGAAACAGCCAGCCGTTGAGGCTGGCTTGGGCTTTGTATTGTGGGAAACATTAATCAGAAAGCAAACCAGGGTCTAGCACCCTTTTCTCACGCCCCACTCCCTAGCCATTTTAGGGAGGGTGCCCCCAGGTCTGCCTTTCCTACGGGGAGTGTGTTTTACAAGGCTGTAAACAAACACTCTGCCTACTATCTCTTAGATGAAGCACAGGACACTTCAATGCAGTTTGGTGTTGCTCAACTAATTCTAATGCACTTGCAGCAAAACCACAGGGCCTGTTATTGATGTACATCCAAAGCTATGGATTGTCACTGAAAGTAATTCATTACTTTGGAACATGGAATCATAGAATTGCAGAGCTGGAAGGGACCTCAAGGGTCATCTAGTCCAACCCCTTGCAACGCAGGATTTTTTTTGCCCAATGTGGGGCTCGAACCCGCAGCCCCGAGAGCAAGAGTCTGCTGCTCTGGCTGCTGCTCTGACCCTGCCTAGATGCTTACCATCTCTTGACATGCCCACTGCCAGGCACTTCTTGAAGCGGCAGTGCTGGCAGCGGTTGCGGTTCATCCTCATGATCATGCAGTTTTCGTTCTTCACACACATCTTGTAGTTGATGTTCTGCTGAATGCTCCTGCGGAAAAACCCCTGGTGGAAGGAAGGAAACAGCGACCAGGTTAGCAAAGAGGAACTAACACTAACACACGCCACGCGCTGACCCCCTGGTCTGCACTCAGGTAAAGGGACCCCTGACCATTAGGTCCAGTTGCGGACGACTCTGGGGTTGCGGTGCTCATCTCGCTTTCTTGGCCGAGGGAGCCGGCGTACAGCTTCCAGGTCATGTGGCCAGCATGACTAAGCCACTTCTGGCGAACCAGAGCAGCACATGGAAACGCTGTTTACCTTCCCACTAGATCGGTACCTATTTATCTACTTGCACTTTGATGTGCTTTCGAACTGCTAGGTTGGCAGGAGCAGGGTCCGAGCAACGGGAGCTCACCCTGTCGCGGGGATTCGAACCGCCGACCTTCTGATCAGCAAGTCCTAGGCTCTGTGGTTTAACCCACAGCCCCACCTGCGTCCCTGGTCTGCACTTAGGGTTGCCATATTTCCAAAAGTGAACATATCTCCCCAAAATGATGCTTCTTAGCTATTTTTCAGGAAATTCGCAAAAAAAATCAACACTTCTTATACGGGTTTTCCTGGGCATCTTAACCCATTTTCAAAAGTTCCACCCAGACACTATTTTTGATGGATGAATCCTGGCTATGTCTGGGAAATTCCAGATGCCCTATCTGCTCTGTTTTCAGAGTTGTATTTAAAACTGAAAATGCTGTTAGCCTCTTTCCAAAAGTTGGCTGAAGGGGTTGCAAAGAGCTGCAGGCACAAGTTAAATCTCCCCCAAATTCCCTGGGGGCCACTTTGGATGGACAGCAAACAAAGTGGTCTCCAATTGGCTTGATAAGTTGCAGGAATGCTGTTAGGGGAGCGCCCAGATGGCCTGAGCCACAGCATGTGAGGGTCTTTGGGGGGGGTGCTTTGCAGCAGGGTCTGGGTCTATCAACCCTTCCCTGCTCCCCTTTTCTCACACACACACACACACACACACACACACACTCATACAGTGCTAGTGTGACTCCCAGCAACTTGCAATCTTAATTCCCCAGAGGCTTCTATATGTACAAATTAGAATATGCAAATACTATGCAGCCTTGTGCCATAAGGCCTTTACCGCATAAGCACCTAGGTCCAAAGCAACCGTTTTGTCTCTTCTAGCCATGTCTGAGCGTCGCCTTCCAACACCTACTTGACTAGGGGGCATATTGCAGTATACAGCACGCCTGCTTTCAATGCAAACAGGGAGAAGGGCAGGAGAGAGTCAAGACTAATCACTTCTGCAAGGCACTTTAAAAGTAAACCAGTTAATGCAGTGCTCACAGCTGGTTTGGAAAACATAGCCCCAAGATCTATGAAAAGCACACGCAAGAGCCAGAGTTGCGTGTGATCCACATTCCAATGCACAAGCAGAAGATTCGATAAAAGGTGCCAAATTCAGTGTTCTAAGGACCTCAGCTTGGTTCTTTTTTACTTAGGGGGGGAAAAAAAATTCCAGTCCTTATCGCTTAAGAGAATACTTTAGACATGTGAAAAGGAGAATAAGCAGAGCACAGCTTACCTTGCATCCCTCACAAGCATGGACGCCATAGTGGAAGCCTGAGGCAATGTCACCGCAAACCTTGCAGAGCAGCACCATCCCACCTGTCTCTGTTGAGGGAGAGAAGAATGGCGGTTAATTCTCCACCTGTGCCCTCCTCTCCACCCTCAGTCTCTGCCCCCTGCCAATCCCTCCCCCCCCCCAGCATGGCGTCCTCCAGGTTTCGGGAGCTATAACTTGCATTATTAGCCAGAGGTGGCAGCGCTCCCAATAGTAATGGCAGTTGTTAAGTCCAAAATGGCTGGAGATTCAGCTGGTTGGGGAAGGCCGGTTTTGAGTGTGCAGGCCCAATGGAAATGGAGATTTGTATGCCAACACAACACCAGACCCGCTTCAGCTAAGTGAAATGTTTCTTCCCTTCTTTAAAACGGGAGTAGCAATGGGCTCGCGCTCCCAAGCGATAAATTAAAGGGAGGTAAATGAGAAGAAAGGCTGCCCCAGCCTTGAGCCTTTGCAGTAAGGTAAGTTTTAAAATCGCAAGTAACTAGGCAGATCTTAGAATCATGGAATTGGATGTGAAGTAAATTTGTTAAAGTTTTTTGAAAAACCTAATAATAATAATAATAATAATAATAATAATAATAATACAGTGGTATCTCTGGTTGCGAACGGGATCCGTTCCGGAGGCCAGTTCGCAACATGAAAAGAGCGCAACCCGCAGCAGCGCGTCTGCGCACGCGCGGGTTGCAATTCACTACTTCTGCGCATGACATCATTTTGCACGTCTGCACATGCGCCAGCGACGAAACCCGGAAGTAACCCTTTCTGGTACTTTCGGGTCGCCGCGGGACGTAACCTGAAAGAATGTACAGTGGTACCTTGGGTTAAGTACTTAATTCGTTCCGGAGGTCTGTTCTTAACCTGAAACTGTTCTTAACCTGAAGCACCACTTTAGCTAATGGGGCCTCCTGCTGCTGCTGCGCCGCCAGAGCACGATTTCTGTTCTCATCCTGAAGCAAAGTTCTTAACCCGAGGTACTATTTCTGGGTTAGCGGAGTCTGTAACCTGAAGCCTATGTAACCTGAAGCGTATGTAACCCGAGGTACCACTATAACATGAAGCAGACGTAACATGAGGTAAAAGGTAAAGGTATCCCTGCCCGTACGGGCCAGTCTTGACGGACTCTAGGGTTGTGCGCCCATCTCACTTAAGAGGCCGGGGGCCAGCGCTGTCCAGAGACACTTCCGAGTCACGTGGCCAGCGTGACATCGCTGCTCTGGCGAGCCAGAGCCGCACACGGAAACGCCGTTTACCTTCCCGCTAGTAAGCGGTCCCTATTTATCTACTTGCACTTAAAAGTGCTTTCGAACTGCTAGGTTGACAGGAGCTGGGACCGAGCAACGGGAGCGCACCCCGCCGCGGGGATTCGAACCGCCGACCTTTCGATCGGCAAGCCCTAGGCACTGAGGCTTTTACCCACAGCGCCTCCAATACCACCCAAACAAAGATACTGACAAAGTGAGAGCCACTTACTTGTGAAGGTGCCAGTGGCTCCGTTCTGTTTGGCAGCGGGTACCCTGCTCTGCGTTGGGGGCGACTGGCCCTTGCTGGGGTAGCGGATGCCCTCGGGGAACTGGAAGGCTACCTTGGGCGAGGACGGGGAGCTGGCCCGTTGAGGCTTAATGGCCCCGATCTCCGTAAGGGTCAGCTCTTCCAGCGAGGATGGCAGTGAGTGTTGAGGCGAAGGCACCAGGTATCCACTGGGGGGGCTGCCTGGGGTGGGGCTGGAGCCGGCTGTGGAGCCCACATACAGGATCACACCACCTGGAGAGAGGGTGGACAAGGAGGAGGTAAGGAAAAGATCAGGACTGTGGAACTGCAGAGAGACGCCTAGCAGGTGTGAGCTGAAACCATGCTTGGAACGTTTATTTGCTTAGAAGTCATATACGTCACTTGATTGAAGAGATCCCTAATATAAAACTGAGTGTCAGATGTTGACCTGGGAGACCTGCATTCGAATCCTCACTCAGCCATGAAGCTCACTGGGTGACCGGGCCTCAGCCTAACCCACCTCACAGGGGTGTTGTGAGCATAAAATGAGGAGAGGAAGAACTACGCTTCCTGTTTCCTAAGTACCTTGGTAACAATGAACAGGTACCCATTGCCAATATAGTACTAGGCAAACCACCCCTAAGTTGTTAAGTATTTTTACTAAAGACAAGTGAAAGGAGCAGACTAAATTAGAAAACTCTTTAAAGAAAAAAAGTTTTATGAAAGGTTTTCAACCTAATGTACCATGAAATTCAAACTGGAGAATAGTAAAAAATAACATATCAGACATAAAAACTGAAGGAAAAAAGAAAAATACATTCATAATAATCCTCATATGATCCTCATAAAACACAACATTATAAATATATCTATGTAGCACACAGTCACTATTTTATCTTCAATTATATCACTCTTCAGGTCATTAAAAAAATAATAATTCCTCCAACGCAAACTGAAAATTTACAGATGCAAATGATCCTAATTTGCATAAGAAAATATTCCAGAAAACATTCCCGGAGATTCTCTAATTCAACATTTTCTGCCGCGGCTGAGCAAGGACCAGGTCACCAGAGTCTGTGCACCTACAAGATGCCATTGCTTGGATGTAAACAATCAGTGTGGGGGTGAGCAGACCCCCCCTGGTTTGCTTTAAAAAGGGAGGGAGGGCATCCCTGGGTGTGTCTTCACAGAAGATTCCAGAAGCCTTGCCAAGGCAATGGGCACCATGGGTTCAAAGAGGTGCTGGTGACTAGAGGCGTCTTTTTGCACTCCTATAAAGTGAGTTTGTTCCTGCCTCCAGCCCACCAACTCTCTTATAGGCAGCGGCAGGCAGCTAGCAAACAGATCCTTCCAATTCCTCAGCTCTCATTTCTTGAGGGCTAAAGAAAGCAAAAATCACCGTGAACTAGTGCCATATAGGGCATCGCTGGAAGAGAGGAAAGGGAACGATGGAGAATATGAGGTGGCTTGCGGAACCACTGATCAAGGCCAAGCTGAGCAACTTTCTGCTGAAAGCTCCAAGAAAACTTTATTCTGCAATCTACGACGGCTGCGAGAAGCGAAAGCAATAGTAAGACAACATCCGTTGCTGATTTCAAATAGTGCCTTTAGCATTCATCCAACATCAACCTGGCTGTGATTTCAAACCACTGTTGCTCCACCCCTTTGGTAATGGCAAATCATGGCTGTCTTTTCGCAGACGGCATGTGTGTCAGCCTCTGACTGGTCAAAACCTGCGCACAGAGGTCGGAGAGGAGGAAATGGGGAAAGCGGCCTCGAATGGGGTCACTGCTGCCGCAAACCACTGCCCCTCCCTTCCTCCCTGCAAAAAACTGTGTCTCTTTCCGCCAGGGCACTGAGCTGGCAGCTGTGCCTGAAGGTGTGAAGCCAGTGACCGACTGAACGCATGCAGCCTCCATGTGGGACGGCGCATGGGGAAGAGCAGAGAATGGTGTGGCCCGGGCGACACGTGCTGCGCGAAAACTAGGGCAAGTGGATGGCACGCATATGAAGGCACGAAAGCCCAAGCGGCCATCTGAGAGGCAGAAGGCCGTGCCAGGACCCCACAAGGTGCCACTGCAAATGCCAAACCAGAGGCCTCATCGGCTCAGGGCAACTGGCTTCCCTTCCAACAGTGCATTTAGGGAACCGCGTGGTGAAAATGCCCCTTAACACCCTTTTTAATGGCTTTGCACCGCCAGGTCTCACGGCCAGGGCAGGTTGTGAGCCTGACGTCAGAGGAATTGATCAGGATGGGAGATCAGCCTGTGTGTTCAGGCCTGGCCAAAGGGAAGAGACTATAGAGAGGCTAAAGAAGGCTCTTTAACAACAATAGCCCCCTGACATCCCTATAAAGTACAGGTGGGATCCTCTGGCCCTTACGGGATGACAACTCTCATCGTTCCTGAAGAGCCAAAGGGGAAGGCCGGTGGTCCCACCAGCTCTCAGCTCCTCTCCCTTTTCCTGATGCCTCCTTCACTAACTCAAAATTTTCTCCTCTGCCCCCCCCCCCAAAGAACCAGAGATGTGCTCCATTGCACAAGGATTTTGTAAAGTGGACCACACAGAAGCGTTACGGGAGCCGCACTCCCTCTGGCTCCTCGACTTATGTGCCTGAACTCACACACCACATCCGCATGCGACCTACATCAGGAACGGAGAAGTACTTTCCGAGCAAACGTCTCCACACTCCCTCGCTCCCTTCTATCTTTTGGTGACAGAATGAGTTTAATTTGCCGTAAGGGCCAATCATCGTCACTCAGCTCTGTCCTGCAAAAACCCCTGGCTTCAAAAACATGTGCCAAAAATAAACCGCCTCTCTTTTATGTTTTCCTAGGCATTGTGAAGCTTATAAGGGCAAGGGCAGCTTGTTCAGGCTGCAAGCAGCGCCAGCCTTAAAACCAACTTTGGGCATGGGAAAAGAGTTTCTTCCCAGCGAGAGAGCGCACTCAAACCATTCTGCTCGGCAGACCGTCAGGCTGAAGGGGCACCTGGGAATTCGCTTGCATGATCTAGAACTGTATTTGAGCTTTGGCCTAGATCAAGGAATTATCGAACTCTAAACAGTGGGCCTCTTCTCCAAACAGAGAACAGCCCAAACTCCCTTAAATGTGAACAACAAAGCCAAAGATTCAACTTCTATGGTGGGCTCTGGACCTCAGCCTAAAAGCAAACAGTTCAAGAAGGCATGCATGTCCCACAATGTGCTTTTTCGATCACTGCTGGTTCTGTGGATCAGAGAGGCAAACACCTTCCCTTCCCCTCAACACCTTAGGACCTCTTCTGGACGGTCAAAATATGCTGCAAAGAGAAGCAGAGCAAGTGAAATCACGCTTCTCCTCCTTTGCAGCATCCACATGACACCGTCCTCATCAAAATGCTGCCCCATTATTATTCACCCATTTAATCCGGATTTACCGTTTCTGCGGAAAATCCGATAAGTTTAAGAAAAAACACACACAACCCTGCAGAAATAGTAAATCCGGATTAATTTGGTAGTGGAGGGTGTGAGGGAGAGGATATGGGGGAGCATTTTGACGAGGACGATGTGGTGAAAGTGCTCCCCTTGTTGGAACAAATCTCACCCTCCTGATTGGAAAGGTGCAGTGGAAGTGGCTCTGTGGTCTAAACCACTGAGCCTACAGCTTGCCGATCGGAAGGTCGGCGGTTCGAATCCCCACGACGGGGTGAGCTCCCATTGCTCGGTCCCTGCTCCTGCCAACCTAGCTGTTCGAAAGCACATCGAAGTGCAAATAGATAAATAGGTACCACTCCAGCGGGAAGGTAAACAGCATTTCTGTGCGCTGCTCTGGTTTCACCAGAAGCAGCTTAGTCATGCTGGCCACATGACTCGGAAAAACTGTCTGCGGACAAACGTCGGCTCCCTCGGTCTGTAAAGCGAGATGAGCGCCGCAACCCCAGAGTCGTCCGTGACTGGACTTAACTGTCAGGGATCCTTTACCTTTACAGCAGAAGTTCCCATACTCTGCATACAGCAGAATGTTCCAGGTCAAATTCTAGTTAAGCCCAGCCGAAGGATAGCAAAGGCAACAGGAAAGATTTTTGCCTGAAATCTTTGGGCGAGCCACTGCCAGTCATGGGAGAGATTGTGTTGGGCTAGATCAGGGGTGTGGAACCCGTGGCTCCGGAGCCGCATGTGGCTCTTTTACACCTTTGCCGCGGCTCCAGGGCGGATACTAGCGAGGGGAGGAGGCGCATTGTGCGCCCCGACACTCCCCACTGTGGCGGGCGCTGTACTGGCTGTGACGTTGCATGGGGGTGGTGCGTGCGATAGTCACGCACCGCCCCGATGTCACCTTCCCGCCCGCTGTCAGATCGGAGGGCAGCAGCGCACATGCAGGTCTATATTTGTTTTAAATGTCGCAATGGTTTTGCGGCTCCCAGTTTTTTTTTCTTCGGAAACGGGTCCAAGCGGCTCTTTTTGTCTTAAAGGTTGCAGACCCCTGGGCTAGATCAAACTTGGGCCTCCAGCTGTTTTTGGACTACAAGTCCCATCATCCCTGACCACTGGACCTGCCAGCTAGGGATGATGGGTGTTGTAGTCCAAAACCAGCTGGAGACCCAACTTTGGGAAACCCTGGGGCTAGATGAAAAATGGTCTTTACTCAGCATAGCAGCGACTCCATATGTTCAGAAGTGAGATGCATGCATCTCTCACACAGAACTTATTTTTATCACTTCTTTTGGATACCTGAAGTATTGTAGGGTTGTTTTGCAGGGGTCGGAGGAATTGCCCCATTGATCAGAAGTACAGTTGGTGGAAAACAACTGTTGGCACATTGATTCCACCAAGACACACTGAAACTGGGCATCCATTTGAATCCTGTCCCACTAGTCTTGGGTGCCAGGTTACGCTTCAAAACTCTCTGCATACATGTTTAGGAGCAGAAAACCCCCAAAATACTGTAATATGTCAACCTCTCCATGGGCGTAGCCAGGTTTTTGGTTAGGGGCAGTGGCGTAGCGTGGGTTGTCAGCACCCGGGGCAAGGCAAGTAATTTGCGCCCCCTAACCCGTGGATTTGCGCCCCCTAACCTGTGGATTTGCCCTAACCCCAGATGTTGCGCCCGGTGCGGCCAGCCCCCCCTGCACCCCCCACGCTACGCCACTGGTTAGGGGTGCAGTCTTTTGCTGGGGAGGAACCTCAAATTTGTATTGATTTTGATTGATTGTATTGATTTTGATTGATTTAGGGGGTCAACTGGCCCCCTTGGCTACGTCCATGGTCATGAACTTCTCCCTATCTTCTCTAT